AGATCTACATTAGGCTATTAACATTCCTGTTTTTCTTCTTAACCTAACCAGATGTTTGTCGTTAAAAAGGTTCAGTAGGTTTCACACCCTTTGCTAACTGAACTTTTTACCTAACATTCTAACAAAGTTCAAAATGCCAGACCCTCGCAATCTCACCAGATTACGATTATAAAACAACCCCGAAAACATCCTTAGAAAGTTCACACTCGCAGGTGCATGCCATAAATAGCTGCAATGGAGATCCTTTGATCACTGAAACATGATCTGTTTTGATCACTGAACTTTGCCTGACACAACAACAAACTTCACAATGCCAGATCCCTCAAAACTCGTTAGATTGCAAATGAGTTGCGACTGTGGAAACAGTCTTAGATGTTTTATAACCTTTTGAAATACATTACGCTGATATGGACGCTTCAGTATTCACACAACCCAGACACCCGGCGCCATTCTTGTTTCATTGCGCTGCGCAAGACGAACTATTTGTATTGAAATATTTGTGTTGTAAAACCTTAGGCGTTTAATTACGTATGTCTGTTTTAATTGATAGATAAGTCACGAGTCTTACGGCAAGAAATCAAAGAGACTCCCCAAAACATTAGCTTTCATTCCAGTTAGATATTTGCGTACGCATACGCGTGTGTGTGTTTTAACTGATATAGCATGCTAGAAGTTAAGATTGACAAAAATAAAAGACAGATTAAAGGAATTAGGCTTCTAAATTAAGTGTGAATAACTAAATAAAATAAAATAAAACAAAACAAACAACATTTTTCGATTTTGACAAGTATCTTACGCTGGTGTTTTAACGACCTTTGATGAACTTTCTTTTAGATCACCGTAAGATACACGGTTCTTTTTATTTTGTTTAACTTTTCTACCGTTGTGACAAAACGCTAGCTTTTCTAAATTGTAATGATAGACTACAACATAGATTTTGACAAGTATCTTATTGCTTAACGGTCTGATATTTTTGTTTTAGATCACGGTGAGATAAGTCAGCATTTTTATTTTATTTTCTAACTATCAGACGATCGTGAACGCCAATGACCGAGTATAAAACATTCTGCCATTATTTAATCACCCTCATGCTGTTGCATATGGTATTACTATTTCCACATAAAACACAAAAGGGAAAAAGTAACAATGATTATAACATTTTCTACACAAGGGCAGTTCATTATAACCACAGATGTCAAGCTCCAGAAGGACAAGACATACACACAATTTATGAAGTATATTTAAAGTATTCTGGGTTCAGTTACAGGCACTAGTTTTTATGCAATACTAAATTTTATGCATTGGTAAATATTCATGTTTTTCACCATTACACTTAGTGGTAAATAAGTAATCCCACATATACACTATAAAATTATGGACGTTTTTGACTAGGAGTAACAGTTACAATACAACAGTGGACTGATTAAGTTAAGTAAATCATGAGCTCATTTTTTTTTATCTCACAGACCGCAATCCTTTTCAAAGTTTTATGTTGCTGTGTACATTACTTAAAATTATGTAAACTGTCTTGACAGTGGCAAAACTAACCTAATGAAATGCATGATTTAGGTATATAATGGAAATACATGACAATTTAACACTACTGTTTACAAATTTGGAGGTTTACGAACCTTAAGAATAAACATTGCCATTCCTTAATGATGTTTAATTTAGTTACAATGTAATGTAATATAATAGTTTTTTTGTGATAAATGCACTAATTTTCATTATTCTTAAAATCTTGACATTTATTGAAGCTTTCTTCATAGTCAAAAAGCATGTTGTTGATTATCTTTGTGTTGTAATGAAATAAGGACCTTTTTGAATATTCAAAATGGAAAATAACAATTGACCAAGCTTCTTGATCTAGTTTCTCTTCCACATTAAAACCTATCACATGGCTTTTGAGAGTGCTCTTTTTTGGAGCTGGACATCCATGGTTACTGTAATCTGTAATTCATATCAAATTTTTATTTCGGGTGCACTAACCCTTTAATGATTTATCAGCACTAGTGGATCTCACTGCAACTGGTGAGTCTGAATTTGGATCAGCATGTAATTTTGGTCAGTCTGTCTGTCTGTCTGTCTGAATGAATGAATGTATGAATGTAAAGTGATCTTTCTGAACCGGGAACTTGATCAGCGCTTTCTGATCTCCCAGCATGCTGGCCTGAACCTAAGCCCCTCACTACACTTTAATCTGTACATCTTCCTAAAATTCTGGATCTCTTTGGTTGGAAATCCTACAAACAACCATCAAGATCATCAGTGTTATCTAAACATCCAAATATTCAACAGTAATATTTTAGTAAGACTTTATTTAAAAATATAAATTAGTAAACTGAAGTTACCATAGATGAGTCCACTTCACTTTCACCAATTCCTGAGAAAAGAAGGGAGTGATACATAAATAAATGGAACGCATACTAAACAATATAATTAATGAGCAACTGTTATGTATTACAAAACATACACAGGGCTTAAAATGTGCTATCAAAACTTATGGTGCATACGTGATATTGAGCTGCTTTCATCAAGGCAAAATTACATCTGTAGATACAACATGCAATTGGTACTGTATTAGCACAAGAGCAAGTTTATAACACACACATGCCATGTAATTTCAACATTACAATACCCATTTCTCTACGTTCAATGTAAAATGTTCGCTTCCAGACGTTTGGGATCTCTGCCACGGATCCAAATTCCTGATGGAACTGTTCCTTCGTCCACCTCGTCCCATCTGCTTGGCAGAGAGTAAACACACTCCCCTCTCTCTTGTCTGACCAAAATGTCTCCTGGCCGAGTTTTAGGAGCTCATCATACCCCTCAGTGCCTGTGACAATTATCCGTGGTGGGGCCTCTTCAAGGATGATTTTTTGATATCTTCCTGGTTTTTTAGCAGTTCTTGGTTTCCACTCCATGGGAGCCATTTTTATCTTGGAACAAGAGAAATAACAAGTTGGTCCAAGTGTTGTTAAATCATGTTACATTTTCCATGTTAAATGTAAATCAAATGTAAAATCAAAGTAAATTTTGACATACTTTTAATTTTAAGTTTACAATAGTTTTAAGTTTTAGTTTAGTAGTTATGAAAGCTATGTAGTGTCCATCCAAAAACACTACATTAACAGTGTTTTTGGATGGACAGACAGACAAACGATAGATAGATAGATAGATAGATAGATAGGTTATTAG